ACATCGTATAAAGAGCGTGATGAGAATCACGCTACAGACCTTCTCCTCTACTACTCAGCCTGTATCGAGAGCAGCAGCTCTCCTTCAATAAATACTTATCACCTTCTTCAAAGTAACTCTGCATCCTACCCAAAAAACCCACAACATCTCCCATGTACCCGAGGTTCCTGCCATTCCGCGAGTACAGCACGGTACTTCAGTCCCGGTATCTCAGAGGTAAGCACATTTCATTTATCAACAAAACTGTCCAAATTTTTCAGCACTAGTGCCTGAGAACCGTCCACATCCGTTCGCGTTTAAACGAGTGCGGCTATGTACTTCCGACGTAGTCCAAAAAACGTTACTGTGAGTTTCCCAGAGCCACGCGGTGTCGCGTGGAGTTGGGGGACACACAAAGAATAAAATAGAATAAAATAATAATGTAAGCGACAATGTCGTAAGCAAGCAGTCTCAGATCCAGGACCAGTGTCAGTCTGGTCAAATCCATCCGGGTTACGATTCGTATCCACTGACATCGGGCGAACTTGGCTTTTCTTCAGTTGGCTGCATTCAGCAGGGAATCGGTCGCCGATCTGTTTGTCTCTTGTCTTGGCTCGAGCCCTTCCATATGTGGGTCTGGTGTCTGTCCGCCGCCTTGGTAGTCGTACCCATTTCCTCACCCTCTATTTTCGTATTTTTGCAAGTCTGTCCCCCAGCCCTCTTAACACATCCTCAGTTTGCTTGCCATTTCCGATAGGACCCTCCCACCCACCTTCGAAACCACTTTGTCTAACGCGGGAAAAAATATGCTACTAGGACAACTTGCACCTTTCAATTCTCTGTGCAGAGTCAAAAAACAGAAAGGGAGAAGTGCTTCCGAGCTCGTATTACTTAGAATTCGATACATAGTTCCCATAATATTCACAATTTTCTGTTCTCTGGGCCCGAAAGACTCAAAATTCCTGGTAATCATGAATTTCGGCTTATCAGGCTGTTCCCAGATACTCTCCGCATTCTTGAATTTGTGCATTGAGACGATCTCGGTCGGTTCATCCAAAATGAAAATTCTTCTTTCCAGGAAATTGACGATCCCCAGACCAGAACCCGTGCGTTCTAGCCTCAAATCCTCGTGATAACACATAGTAATCTTGTCCATTGTGTGCTCTACCTTCCGTCGGCTCGCTGGATCGTTTCTCTCGTATAGACCTAATAGTAGTAGGTCATCAACGTACCTTTTCCCGAAGAGGCATTTCTTGTTTTTCCCGAGTGCTTTCATGAATTTCTCTTCGACATATATACACACCAGCGCAGCTAATGGGGGGCTTGTCTGTCTGCCCATTGGGATGCCTTTATCTTGTCTCAGGATAGTACCAGCAGATTTAAAGAAAACATGATCCAGCAAAAATCCAGTTAATCTTTCAAGGTCGTTTAGCCTTATCGATTTCCATCCTTTCTCACCAGATGCTTTCCCAAAAGTTGCTCCCTTCCCGTGTGTTTTCACTCTTACCCAATGTTTCCCTTTTTCTCTGAACAGATTTTTTTCGATCCGATTCCGATTCAGTCCTTACAAGGCAATACAAGTCCCATTGGCCCCCTTGCTCGAACAGACTCTTCATATCTTTAAGAGTGTGACATCCCGGGGAACCTGATAATTTAGAATCCCCGTACACCAAACTCACAAGTCGCCACCCCCTTGGCACGAAATGCGAATTGGTCGGTTCTTACCTTTAGCCAGTTTCAGAATGTTCAACAGATTCCCAGTCAATTCATTATTCGTAAGATCAGACGAAAAAAGAATGGGTGTCCATACGTCTGGTGTCCTGGGATTCTTGCATATTGCCTTCCTATTCTTCCGCGGTCTTTTCCGCGCTTTAATCTTACGACTGTTCAGTCCCGGATTCTCGTTCTCAATGATCATGTTTTCCATTCTTAGCAGGTCACCCTTCCCCCCTATCCACAACGGGAAAGCCGTGTAAGACTCTGTTCCACGCTTGCTCAGCCATTTATGCACTTTGAATACCGGGTTACGTGTGGTAGAATAAGTGTGTTCACTCCACCTATCTGCCAGAGTTCTACCAGTCTGTCCCACGTACACCTGTCTACAAAACGGTGAGATGAGGAGGTACACGGAAGATCGGGCCTTAGTCAGATCGATGAGGCAGTCCCAGTCCAACCCAGTCCAATACTTGTTATAGGTACATCCCCATCTAATGTAGCCAAGCAGGCAAGAAAGCAAAGTGCCTATCCGAAATGCGCATTCGAGTTCCGCCCTTGAAGGACCATCGAAACAAGGGATAGCAGCACAGATTCTTCGGAGTGTCCTAGTCAGACCACATTTAGACGGGATCTAATTCGCTTGGACTCCCTCTGAATCCTCCCCGTCCGTACCCCCACCATCCTTCTTCGAACAGGATTCGGTTTCTGCGACTCCATCCTCCCCGTTGATCAGCTTCGTGAATTCATCGGTATCCTGTTTGGCCAATTCCCATGCTCCCTTGTCCTTCTGCTCCCATTTTATCCCTCTCTTGGTACAGAGACTCTTAACCTTCTTCCCAATCATGTCCATGTAATGCTCGAGCCTCTGGCGCATGTATTCCATGATTCCCGTCTCGTTCCTCCCCACGTTACCATGCCCCTTATTGACCAGTAGTTTATCCGCTTCTTCGTCCGATTCCTCGCTCTTATCTTCCGTGGTCTCTTCGTTTTGCACGGTGCTGGCCTTCGTCGCTTCTGACACATCGCCCTTCTTCTCGGCTCCAGGGGCCTCTTCGAGGTTAACTCTGTTGGCTATTGCTGCCAACATCTTCATGACATCGTTGAGCTTCACAGGTTCCTCAGATCGGTTACTTGGTTCACCTTCGATCTTCGCTACCTGCGGGGCGCTATTCTTGCCTTCATCATCGGACGAGACTAAAATACTCGGTTGCCGGATCCGAATGCCACCACTGCGAGACCGCGACCTCGACTTCTGCCTTTCCGGTACGGGTGAGTTCGCACCGACGACACGTTTCCGTTTCTCATTGCTCCCGGCATCTTCATTGTGGCCAGACTCAAGTTCGGCGACCTTTTTTGAAAGCTTCTCGCGCTCGCGATCGGCTTCCTTGGTCTTCTTGTCCACTGCGTCCAGCTTATCGGCGATCTTCTTGAGAGACGTGCCGAAACTCGTGGCCATCCAGTTCTTCAGTTCCTGCTCGCCATCTTCGGTCTTTGCTGTCGCTTTCTTCTTTCTCGTGTTCTCGCTCTTGCTACATTCTCCGGATCCTTCACTCTTCTTTCTCGAGTCCTCCAGCAAGTCTCTGTTCTTCCATTTTTCAATGAGCTTCAAGTGTTCACGAGTGAACCAAGCCCTATTACCTGGCCCAGGAAAAGCATTTGCAGCTGGGCCCTGCTTCTCTCTTTCTTTTACAGGCGGAAGGTAGCTCGTCGCCCCTTGCTGCCACGTCGGAGTACGGGGGATACGCCGCTGGTGGAACTACCCCTGGATGCGCAGGGGGGGGGCTAGGCTGTGTCATCGCATTAGTAGCAGGGGGAGTATTTTGGTACTCCATCCAGTACCTCTTGCAACCCGACCACCTTCCTCGTCCCCCGCCTCGACCCCAACCGGCTCCTCTTGCGTACATACAGGGGTGCTCCGCAACCGCTGAAGTCGCCCTCGTCGCTGCAGGTCCTTATTTCACTTCAGTCTTCGTCGTCCGTCCCGATTGGTGAACACGAAACCACGCCACAGATGTGACATGACCGAACCTCAACGTATCCAGATCCTCGACTTATTACACCCTCAACACTAAGTGCGTTGATGGGACAGAGAAAGCAGTATGTATGCGCTAGAAGCATATACCGAGAGTACGAACCCGACTATGCAATGTCCTCAACACCAAGTGCGTTGATAGGACGGTGATAGCGATACGTACACGCAGTAAGAACAGATATAAACAAGAATAAATAGCATAATATTGAAAGAAACAAAGCACGTGTACCATAGCCAACGGGATACACGGCGCTAGGCGAGCGTCTCCCAAGCACAACCGCTGGGTCGTTCGTCTAGATCACGCATGAGTTGAAAATAACGATGCAGTTAGAGGTTTACATCTCGTAGCATAACCACATCGTATAAAGAGCGTGATGAGAATCACGCTACAGACCTTCTCCTCTACTACTCAGCCTGTATCGAGAGCAGCAGCTCTCCTTCAATAAATAC